CGAAATAAATCCTGTAGTGCCACACCACAATCGGAATGCTCTTGTACTTCGCAAAATTCCTTTTGCGGTGGAATGCAAACTGCTTCCTTCTGCGGCTGAATTCAAGAGGATTCCTTTTGTGTCGGATTGCAAGAGACTTCGCTTTGCGGCGAGGTATAAAAAATGATCCCCTTTTGTGGCATACTACAACTGAATAAGATGGGGATCCTTTTGTGGCGGAGTACAAGAGGATCCCCTCTAAGGCGGAATGCAACAAGTTGACAACATCCTTTTCTGAGCGAAAAGCGCTGGCAGTAGCCAACAAATAAACAAACAAACAAACAAGCAAGCAAGCAAACAAACAAACAAACAAACAAACAAACACATAAACAAACATAGGATTGCAGCAACTTGGTGGCGATTTCCCACGGATATTTGCCCGATCTCATGTTTTCTTGTTTGTATTTTTTATTTTCTCGTTTTTTCTTGTCAGCGCTTTTCGCTCACAAAAGGAGTCCGCCACGAGGGATCCCTGAGTAATCCACTACAGAGGAAATCCTTACGTATTCCGCCACGCGAGGAATTGTTTTGTATTCTGCCACAGAGGGAATCTTTGTGTATTCCGCCACAAAGGGGACCCTTTGTATTCGGCCACGAAAAGATCCCCTTGACATTCCGCCGCACAACGGAACTTTGTAGTATTCTGCCACATAGGGAGTCCGTTGGGCTGCCGCCACAAGGGGAACCATTTTTCACCACCCACCAAACCACCCCAACCCAACCCGAAGGCTCAGATTTTCCCTCGATTTCCAGTGGGGGGGGGGGTCGGGAAACATCGAAAAAACACATGTGGAACCCTTACCCCCCCCAACCCGAAATTCGGGTCTTCGGGTTGGGTTGGGGTGGTTTGGTAGGTAGTCAATTTTGTATTCGACCACATAAGAAGGATTCCCTTTGCTTTCCGCCACGTAAGGATTTTTCAGAAGCCACAACATAAATCTTTTTGTATTCTACTACAGGAGGGGTGCTTGAATAACCCGCCGCAGAAGTAATCCCTGAGTGCCCCGCCTCACGAGGATTTCTTTTGTTGTATTCTGCCGCAGAGGGAATCCTTTTGTATTCCGCCACAAAGGATTGTATTCGGCCACGAAAGGATTCCCTGTGCATTCTGCCACACAAGGAATCTCTTGGTAATCGACCATAGAAGGATTCCTCTTGTATTCGACCACAAAAAACTCCCTGAGTAATCCACCACAAAGAGAATCCTTCTGTATCGCAAAGGCCTTACGGCTGGTGCCGCCGACCCTGAATGGCGCCGACGCCGACGCCGACGCCGACGCCGACGCCGACGCCGACGTCGACGCCGACGACGATGCCGCCGCCGCCGCCGCCGCCGCCGACGACGACGACGACGACGACGACGACAGCGAGCGCTCTCGGGGGCCTCTTGGGGGTAGTTTGGGGGACTCTTGGGAGGCTTTTGGGGGCTGCTTGGGAGCCTCGTGGGGGCTTTTGGGGCTTCCTGGGGGTCTCTTGGGTGCCTCTTGGGGCCTCTTGGGGGGATTCTTGGGGGCCTCTGGGGGCCTCCTGGGAGCTTCTTCGGCGGAGGGCTCGAAATGACCGTTCGGGTCCCCTGTCTGGGCTCCCTCTTGGAGCCGTCTTGGGGGCCTCTTCGGCTGTCTTGGAGGCCTCTTGGGCGGTCTTGGCGCCCTCTTGGCCATCTTGGGGCGGTCTTGGGGGCCTCTTGGCCTGTCTTGGAGCGTCGGGAAGCTGACAAGGCGAGAACGCCGACATTTTTCGAAAACCTAAGGGAAATCCATGATTTTTGACCTTGGGGCCCTCTTGGAGGCTTCTTCGGGCGTTCTGGAAACCTTTTTGAGCCGTCTCGAGGCTACTTTGGCGACTTCGATTTATACTTCGGCGATTCGGGGCCTTCGAGGACCGTCTTGGGGGCATCTTGGGCACTTTTGCCGCGTCTTGGGGCTTTCCTGGGCCCCCGAACTGCCCGGGGGGGAGTCGTATCTGGGTGGCGACCCCCCGGGGACCCTGGGTGGCGACCCACCGGGGACCCCCCCGGGACCCCCCCCGCCTGAGGGGAAGGGATCAAAGGGAAGGGGCTTCCCTTCGACCCAACTACTCGCTGTAGCTGGCGCGAGGAGGAGGGCCCGGTGAAAGTGGAGGGAGCGGCGACGGGCCTAGGGAAAGGGGAGGGGGTGAAGGCGACGACGACGACGACGACGACGACGACGACGACGACGACGACGATAACGATCACGACGACGACGACGAAGGAATTCTTTTGTATTCCGCCACAAAATGAATCTTTTGGTATTCGGTCACACAGGGAATCCTGCAGTATTCCGCCACAACGGAAAGCCTTATGTATTCGACCACAAGCCGCTTCTCTTTGTATTCCGCCAAAAAACAAATCCTTTTGTAATCCACCACAGAAGGATTCTCTTCTTATTTCGCCACAAGAGGAAAGCTTTTGCATTATGCCGCACAGGGAACCCTTCTGCATTCCACCACAACGGGAATCCTTTTGCATCTCGCCGCATTCGAACTCGGCGTTCCGCCGCCAAAGGAATTGGCGCAGGCGCGCTACAGAGGTATCCCCTTGGTGGTGGAATACAGAAGGATTCGTTTGGGTGGAATAGAAGAAGGTTGACTTTCAGCCGACCCTGCACCGCATCCTGGCAGGGGCCGATCCTGGACCCACAGGTCGGTGCCTGCGCCTGGCATGGCCCGAGGCCGAAAGGGCGTTGCACACCGACCCCTGGGCCCAGGATGGGCCCAGGGGCCGGTGTGCAACCGGGATGGGCCCTGCGTGGCGGATTACAAGACGATATCGTTCAATAGACAACACGTTCGTGTTGTCTACTGGACCCGCCGTGCTTACAGGAGGCTCACGTAGAGGGGGCCGCAGATTTTAAACCATTGTACTTCAGTTTGTCGTCATGGTGTACAGCATATGTTCTCCAGACTTCGCTTCGGCAGACGGTCCAAATAATAGATGTCGTTCGTTGCTTTGTTGGAAGAAGTACTGCTCAAACCGCCCAGGCCGGCATTGTGCCTGGCGCTTTCCCTCCTCCTCGGCCTGCGCAGAGACCCACCTTCCCGGTCGGCTTTCGGATCCGCGCCTGGCCCGTGGCGGTGGAAATGTCCCGCAGAGCCCCGCCAGGCTTCAGAATACGGGGTCCACATGCTTCCAGCCCCCCTTCTCTGGAGACGCTTCCTCGGCCGTGAGGCCATGGAGCGGCAGGGGGGGTCCCGCGAAGTGGCTCCCCAGCGCCTGTCGCCAGCTTCTTCCTTCCGCGGAAGCCGCGCGCCTGGGATGCGGCCGGGGAGGGGCAGCCCAGCGGAAGCAGCGCCCCCGGGGCGCGTGCCAAGGATCCTTCGCCCAGCGCGCCCGCGCCGCAAGGGCCGCCCCCGGCCGCGGCCGCCCCGAGGACGGTGTGTCCTCCTCCCTGATTTTTACATTTGGGCGAGCTCCGGGTGCTGGCCTGCAGCGCTCAACCTGCTCCCTCGTCCTGCTCTTCCCTCCCGCTTCCCATCCCGTTCCTCGGGGGCAAGGGGAGCGGGAGCACGCGCACGTGCAGCTTCTCAGCTCCCTGGCAGAGACGAGAGCGCTAGTCCCAGGCCTCGCCCGTCACAAGCGATCGAGGCCGCCTGTCTCTTCCACCGTCTGGGCCTCATGGAGGCCCGCTGTGGGCCCGGTGGCCACCACCACGAGACCCAGGATGAAAAACTAGTCAATGCCCTCGGCGAGGGAGGGGGGGAAAGTGGGAAGGAGAAGGCCCTCCCTGAAGGCGGCGGGGCTTCTCAGAAGCCCTCGCGCCTTTGAGAGTTCTTCTTGTGTCTTCGGGGAAGGCATCGGACACGTTTCAGAAGGCTGCGGGACTTCCGAGCCTTCTGAGAAGGCCCGCACCTTCTCACTCCCCCCCCGGGCTCGCCGCCGACATTGGGATGGGCTCGAGAGGCCCGGAGCCCCAGGTTCAGGGGCAGCGTCAGGGGGGGACTGGCCCAGGGCGGGAAGCATCGACCTCCCCCATCGCCCACTCATCGTCGACAGGGGCCTGATGGCCGACCCCGCTTAGGAGCGTTCGGCTTCGCTATCGGTGGCCCATCGTCGATCTATGGGCGTTGTATCGCCGTTTCAAGCTCGATGTTTCCCCCGCTGAGCTGGTCCCCTCCCATCGTTCACCCTCACATGTTACATATCATGATGTCAGATGTCTGGGACGCAAGCGGAGGACGTGAGAACGCTGCTGGAGCTGGAGGACGGGGATCGCTGCCTGGGCCTCTTCTACATCGGCATGGCGTCGGAGGACGCCCATGGTGCCTTGATGGGCTGGTCTTGCCATTCGGGTCGGATGAAGGGGGGGGGGATAGGGGCAGGGGTGTTGCGAACTGCTGCATGCAGCTGGTTTCGGTTCTGCCACTGGGCACTTCCCTCAATACATGGTGGCCTCCAGTGCCGGGAGGCGCCCCGAAAACCAGCTACGTGAGCTGATTTCCCCCTTTGCTATTCCACATTTCGTCCGATCCGAGGCATCCATAGCATGCTTACTTCTTCGGAGTCATTGCCTGCCTCAACTGTATCTTCAACAGGCTTGCGCCATTCCGCCGATCCCTAGAAGAGTATGTGTGCGGCCTCCGATCTCGTGTGTTCTGTTCCCCGCTTCCTATCGCTCAGGGCGTGTTGTGGGTCTTGGGGGCCATTCTTGTGGGGGAGAGCTCCCGGGCCCCCGCGAGCTCCTCCTCTTGGGCCCCTCCCTCTTGGGGCCATCTCGAGGGCCTCTCTGGCTGTCTTGGAGGCCTCGTGGGGCCGTCGTGGGGCCCGCCTGCGGGCTTCTGGGGCCCTCGTGGGCTGGTCTCGGGGGGGGCCTCGCGGGCCGCCTAGGGCTTGCACAAGCCGAAAGCGGGAGAACACGGAAGAGCAGCGCAACAACAGTGGACAGCTCAAGGTCTTTGCATCTTGAGGCCCTCTCGGGGATTCTCTTGGGGCACTCCTGGGGCGGCTTGGGGGCCTCCTGGATGGACCCCGCTGTGGTCATCTGGAGTGCTCTCGAGGCCTCTCTGGCGTGCTGGAGCCATTCTCGAGCCACGGCTGGTGGAGCTGGAGGCTCCCACAGCCCCTAGAAGTGCGTCGACGAGCTCGCCTCCCCCCCTCGCCACTCCTCCCCACAACAGTTCCCCCGCGCGAAAAGCGGGGCTGGGGTGGTGCCGCCCCCCTTCGAACCAGCCTCGCACATATCCCCATCCCTGAGATTGACAAGCCAAGAGGCAATGACAATCTTAGGGATGCGCCCCCTCAGAAGGTGAGGGAGCCCCCAGGATCGGCATCGAGAAAAAGGCGATGCCGAGCATATGGGACAGGGACGTGTTTCAGGCCGGTAACCTCCCCCCCGCATTCGCCGGCGGCACGCGGTGACGGGCCGTGAGGTCGCCGCGCATGCCAGGCCTGCCGCCGTTCCCCGGGGCTCCTCGGATGGCCCCCGGGGCGTCGCGCGCAGGGGCGGCTCACCGGGGCGGCAGCAGAGCTCGGCACGCCCAGCTGGGGCCCATTTCGAGCCGATCGGTCCGATCGTCGGGGTGGTCCAAGAGGCTGGTGATGATGACAGTGGGGGCGCATGCCAAGAAGCACCCTGCTTGCCTCCAGGGTGCCCTGGGTTTCTTGTTTTTTTTTTTGCGAGGGAAAGCGTGACGCTTCCACACCAAAAATCGATGGACGTCCTGGGGTCTCAGGGTTGGGTTTCTGGTAGAAGGTCTATTGTGGACTGGCCTCCACTGTGTGTGTGTGGATACCATGGCCAGGGCCATGGTATCTACACATATTGACTGGCCCCTCTTTCTTATTTCAATGCGCCCCCTGGTCTCCACCTCGTCCGTGCACATGCCTCGGGTCACGAGCTGCGACCCCCCCCCCCCCTCGTGGACGCTCCCCTCCTGGACGCCCCCGAGATTCGGCATCGATTCTGGCGGGCCCGAGCCGATTCGATTGCGTTATTCCGATGATCTTGTTCGGCCTGGCCCGCTGTTCGGGACGATCGAAATGGGTACGGAAAGAATGAGTACAATGCCCAACAGCGGTCCGCATCATTTTGAGCAGGACTCGCTGTCGGCGTCGCCGCGGCGGACTGTGTCCAGTTGAGATAGAAGGCCGCCTGCCGAACAGCGGCCGCTGTTGGTTTGGGATAACATTTGTTGTTGGGCATTGCATCCATCTTTTCCGTAACCACTTTGGGCGCCCAAATCTGTTCGCATGGCGCTGCTGTGCATCCTGGCTTGGCCGATCGGATTCGATTCCGATGCCGCGCCGGCGCAGCCCGATCCGCCGTACGGTCCGTTCCGACCCGACGGTGGTGCTGACGGATCCTGCCATCGCCCCTCTTTCCCTCCCCCCTCCCTCGCCTCCCGATTCTCACCACTCACCAAACCACCCCAACCCAACCCGAAGGCCTCAATTTGCCCTCCATTTCCAGTGTGGGGGGGGGGCTGAGGAACATTAAAAAAACACATGGAACCCGTACCCCCCCCAACCCGAAATTCGTGCCAAGTTCGGGTCTTCGGGTTGGGTTGGGGTGGTCTGGTAGGTAGTCAGATTCGAAAGAGCGTGTTCTACCGCTGCTGGCGGAAAACCGGGGGGGGTCACTACGGGTTCGAACCCCTCCCCCCCCCCCCCCCCCTGCTCATCATGAAAAGGGGGGTCACTACCGGTTCGACCCCTCCCCCCCCCCCCTGCTCACTAGGGGGGGGGGGTCACTACCGTTCGAACCCCCCCCCCCCTCCGGATCCGGAAAACCGGGGGGGGTCACTGCCGGTTCGAACCCCCCCCCCTCGAAAACCGAGTGGGGGTGCGGACAGTGGTGGGGACGGTGTTGGTGGGGACAGTGGTGAGGGGATAGCGGGACAGTGGTGGGGACAGTGGGACAGTGGGACAGTGGTGGGGACGGTAGTGGTGGGGACAGTGGTGGGGACAATGGTGGGAACAGGGGGGGACAGTGGACAGTGGTGGTGACGGTGGTGGTGGGGACAGTGGTGTGGGGACAATGGGAATGAGGTGGAAACAGTGGGACAGTGGAGGGTACGATGGTGGTGGGGACAGTGGTGAAGGCGGTGGCGAGGACGGCGGTGGGACAATGGGACAGAGGTACAGTGGGGACAGTGGTGGGGACAGTGGGGACAGTGGTGGGAACAGTGGGACAGCTCAGTGGGACAGCGGAGGAGTCAGTGGGACAGTGGGGACAGTGGGGATAGTCGGGCAGTGGTTGGGGCCGTGGAGACAGTGGGGAGAGTGGAACCGTGGTGGGAACAGTTCTGGGGACAGCGGGGACAGTGCGACAGTGGTGGGGCCACTGGTGGGGACAGTAGGGGCGGTGGTGGAACCAGTGGGGACAGCGGTGGTGAGGACAGTGGTGCTGGGAACACCAGTGGGGGATGTGATGCGGACGGTGGTGGGGACCGGGAGTCGTTTGCTGGCGGTGAGTAGGGGGGGGGGGGAAAGGGGAAGGGGGGGTGCGAACCGGTAGTGGCCCCCTCCAGTTTTCCGGATCCGGAGGGTAGGGGGGGGGGGGGGAGGGGCTCGAACCGGTAGTGACCCCCCCTCTGGTTTTCGAGGGGGGACGAGGGGGGGGGGGGGGGGAGGGGTTAGGGGAGGTGGGGGGGGGGTTTTTATGCGGGTGGGGGAAAGGGGGGGGGGGGGGTTGGGGTTCCAGGCAGGGGGGGGGGGGGGGGATTTTCGGAGGGGGGGGGGGGCGACCCCCGGGCTCCGGAGGAAAAAGTTGGCAATTTTCCACAGTAAAGCGGCGGTGGATCACGCTCTCTCGCGTCTGGAGACATACCCCCCAGCCTGTGTATAGAGACGGTAGCTGGATGACGACACCTGATGTGACTCCATACGATCCTGCTCGGAAGGAGCTGAATGCTCAGAGCGCTATACTTGATGGCAGCCCGCTGAGTCGCGGAACGAAGCCGCCGAACAGACAAGCTGACATAGCCCACTGGTCTGATGATGACGGCCAAGCGAATATGTCACAAATTCCACATGTAAGTCGCCACCGTGCCTACATAACCCCGCTTGTGCCTCGTGAGTATTCCTTCCCCTTGGATCATTCATTACCCTTTCCTCTCGCACACCATGTTCCGAATGCCACCAGTTGCAGCCAGAGTCTCAAGCGGGTGCAAGCAAAATGAGAAGCGAATCGGCACATTCCGCCGCCAGCAGCCTGCGCAGAGACAGCGTGGCCAGCATGAATGATCCCAAACCTCCTCCTCCTCCTCCTCATCATCCTCCTCCCCCTGCTCCTCCTCGTCCTCCTCTCCTCCTCCTCCTCCTCCTCCTCCTCCTCCTCCTCCTCCTCATCATCATCATCATCATCATCATCACCATACTCAGCATCATTGTGATGTCATAATCCACTCCTGCTCTTGCGACGAAGATGCATTATCATGTCACTGTCACGTAGCAAAGTATTCAAAGTCATCATCCTCATTATCCTCCTCCATCTCAAACTCCTCCGCATCCTCCCGATCATCATAGCTACTGCTCATGCTAATGGTCCTTATCCTCCTCCTCCTCATCCTACATATCCTTCTACTCCTCCCCGTCACCCATCATCGTTCAAATCGCCATCAATCCTAATTAGCGTCATCATCAATATCATCATGAACGGAATCAGCATCGTCAGCATTACCATCAATCATGTTCATCACCACCATCAGCATCACCACCACCACCATCAGCATCATCATCAGCATCATCAGCAGCATCATCAGCAGCATCAGCATCATCATCATCATCAGTATCATTACCATCAGCAGAACCAGCAGCACCAGCATCAACAGTATTATCAGAATCATCAACAGCATCAGTATCATCATCAATGTCAGCATCAGCATCGTCATCATCATCAGCAGCATCAGCAGCATCAAAATCACCATCGTCAGCAGCAGCAGCATCATCAGCAGCATCATCACCATCATCGTCGTCAGCATCGTCTTCGTCATCATCATCATCACCATCGCCAGCCCAATCATCATCATCAGCATCATCAGCATCAGCATCATCATCATCAGCAACATCAGCATCAGCATCAGCATCATCATCGTCATTGACATCATCATCAAAATCACAATCATCAGCATCTTCAGCAGGAGCATCACCATCGGAGACATCAGCATCGTCACCAGCAGCATCATCATCAGCATCAGCATCGTCATCACCAGCATCGGCATCATCATTAGCAGTGTAGTAACCGTCGTCATCATCATCATCATCATCATCATCATCATCAGCAGCAGCAGCAGCATCCTCATCATCGGCGTC